TCTTAACCTAACAGCTTACTCCAAAGTGGAACAAACTAGTTTTGTTTATGATAAGATGGTTTCTTTGGTATGCCCCCTCCTCCAATGCCGGCCCTCCTCCTTGTTGACAGTCGTGTGAAACTGGTTGATAACAACAAAATCCATGCTCAATTATCGAGGCATACAATCCAACATTTTTCAGTCAGGTCATCTGGACAGTTTCTTTTTTTGTGCTGAAACATTTCACCTTCGTCCGGAAGGCTTCATCAGTCAAGGAAACACAGAACAAAACTGATTCTTCCCCCAACAGCTTACTCTAAAGTGGAACAAACCAGTTTTGTTTGTGATAAGATGGTCTCTTTGGGACGCCCCCTCCTCCATCGCCAGCCCTCTTCCTTGTTGACAGTCGTGTCATACTGGTTGAAAACAACAAAGTCCATGCTCAATAATCCAGGTATACAATCCAACATTTTTCAGTCAGGTCACCTGGACAGTTTCTTTTTTTTTGTGCTGAAACATTTTGCCATCGTTCCGGAAGGCTTCATCAGTCAAGGAAACACACAAGAAAACTGATTCTATACCATACCATACCAATTTTTTTATATAGCACTTTAAACAGTGACAAAGCACACCAACGTGCTGTACAGGGACAAACAGAACAAGCACATAGCAACAGATTACATAACAGGACACCAAAAAGTAGAAACCAACAAAAACAATAATGGATAACAACAACAACCGCAACATGACCAACACAGTGTGATGCACACAGACTCAGCACAGATCACACAGTGCAGAAAGCCAGGGAATAAAAGTGTGTTTTTAAGTGAGATTTAAAAACTGTGAGGGAGGGGGCCTGTCTAACGAGCAGAGGTAACTCATTCCAAAGTCTTGGGCCTGCTTCAGAGAAGGCCCTGTCACCTCTGCGCTTGAGACGGGTTCCTGGGACTGTTAGGAGCAACTGGTCTGCTGATCTGAGAGAACGTGGTGGGACATACGGCTGGAGCAGATCAGTAAGATAGGAGGGGGCAGAGCTGTTTAGTGATTTATAGACGTTCAATAGTATTTTGAATTTGATTCGAAGGTGAACCGGAAGCCAGTGTAGGGAGGCCAAAACAGGTGTAATGTGCTCTCTTTTGCTTGTGCTGGTCAAAAACCGGGCTGCTGCATTTTGGACCAGTTGGAGTCTAGCTATGGATGTCTGACTGATACCAAAAAGGAGTGAGTTGCAATAGTCGAGCCTGGATGTAATGAATGCATGAATTACTGTCTCCAGGTTATTTTTGGACAATATGGGCTTCAGCTTACACAGACGCCTCAGCTGGAAAAAGCAGGATTTAACAATCATATTTACATGATTGTTGAGTTTCAGAGAAGGGTCAAGTATCACTCCTAGATTAGTGACTCTTTGTTTCACTAACGGTGACAGAACGGATAGGTCGATGCAGTGGTTGGTGATTGTGTCATTGGGAGGAAAAAGCATAACTTCAGATTTCTTCTCGTTGAAACTCAAGAAATTTAAAGCCATCCAATCTCTGATGTCAGCCAGGCAGTCCAGTAACGGTTGAATAGGGCGAGTACCGTTGAGTCTGAGGGGGAGGTAGATTTGGCAGTCGTCGGCGTAGAAATGAAAAGGTATGTTATGTTTCCTGAAAATAGCACCTAGTGGCAGCCTAGGGCTAGGTTAGCTGCCCTTGACTACAGTATATTTAAATAAATGGGTTCGCTCTTTTTCGATTTAAATTACTGCCATGTGACCGAGGTAACTGTGCGTGGATTGTTTAATCAGTAACATGAGACGTTAATTTCCTTTGACCCATCAGAATGAATGCGGTCATTTATTGAACAGAATCAAAATTTAACATCAAAACATTGTACACTTGATTAGCTGATCTGGTTCTGATTAATAAAACTTGGCACGTTTTACTTAATAAGACAACAGGACTTGAAGGAGGCATCTAGACTAATGGGAAATGAAGGAGTTTAAACGGAGAGAAAAGATGGATGAGGGAAAGTGTGTTGACTAGGAATGGCACCCTTCATCCAATCCCAGCTCAGCCCCGGTACACTCGGTGCGTGGCGACTCGTTACCTTTGCTCAGCTCAGGTACAGAGATCCATTTCAACGCTACCTTTCAGCGTCTCCGGTCAGGATGGCTGAGAATCGTCCGAAGTAGTGACGGTACTCCGTTCAACAGAATAAGCTTCCTTAGAAGTTGTAGGGCATTACACCCGGGTAAGTTCACAGCGAGGCGCTGTGACTCCAGCTGGGATGGACGGACCCTCGTCTCACGGTCAAATCCATCAGCTATTGATTAAATCTGAAAGTTCCTTAGGAACTCTCAGGAAGACTTCAGTCAGAGATTCCACTCAGAAATGGAGGACTCCATGAAAGACTGAAGAAGACCCCAGGAAGACTCCGGTCAAAGACTCAAGAAGACTGAAGACTGAGAAGTTCCAGGAAGTGTGGACTCAAAGAGTTCTCACTTCTGGTCACTTCAGGACTTCCTGATTGGTTGAAACTACCAACAGAGTGTGGTTCTAGTGATGTCAGAGGGTCATTACAAGTCAAGAAAACAGCAGGAATGTTTTAGAGACTTTCAGTTCAGACAGAAGACACGTTATGGCGAAGTGGGAGGAAGCAGGTGCCAATAGCTTCTTATTTACCGTCTGCTAGGTTTAAAAACAATCCACTTCGTTCTAATAACTCCTTTCTGACTTTCGACCGACATCACTTCTTCTCATTTCAGACAGAAGATCAAAAATGCACAATTACTTTGTAAATAGACATTTTACTTGATTTCTAATTTAAATGAGGATTAAAAAAATCATTAATACTGTTTCACAGTTGATTTAAAATGAGTGGTTCACTTCAACATTTAGAAATGGTATGAACTAAACATACTTTTGATTTATCAAAATATTGTAAAATAGTAATGATACTATAAAAGAAGAGTGTTCTTTCAATTGATTAGTTCAGGATACGATTAGACAGTCTCTGGATGAGCTAATTTGTATTTCTGGATTCAAATCAATGAAATAACAGTTCCTGTCCCATGAAGGTCTTCAGAGGCAGGTTTTGGTCGGAGGCCGAGTTCACTACATTACCTTTAATCTATGGGGGCCAAGGCCACGATTGGCCACCCCTGACTCCACCATTACTAACTCTACTTGAACTTGTTCCCTCATTGAGGACTGAACTAGGCAATAGGGCCTTCTCCTACTCCGCTCCTGTTTCCTGGAGTATCTTACAAAAAGATCTGAAGCTCTCGGCCTGGACATCTCTAAGTGACTTTAAACGTCTGTTAAGCTCATGGCAAAAACCAATGCAGACATGTTCCTGTTTTTAGTTTTCTACACCGCCTTCCAATCAATTTGTTAAAAAAAAAAAAAATGTACGCATCCTTTATGATTGTCTATTGTTGTCGTTGTCCACTGTTGTCATCACTCTTTGTTAAAATCAGGTCTCTCTTGTAAATGAGTCCCTGAGGCTCAATGGTACTAACCTGTATAAATAAAAGGTTGAATGGATGAACATCTTACACCAAAAACTTTAATTCCCTGTTCATTTCCAGTCTAGAAAAACACTCATACTTCTGGGTGTTCTGTCTTTTTTCTGTGAAGCCCCAAAAACCTCTGATGGTGATGGAGTACTGGTCTGGCTGGTTTGACACTTGGGGAGAGCACCATCATGTCTTCCACGCAGAAGGTAAAGAAACTGAACCACATTGGAACGTTTCTGTTCTCCGGACTGTCCTACCTGTGAGCTGCACTCTGCAGATATGCTCGCTGTGGTGGCTGAAATCTTGGAGAGGGGCGTTTCCATCAACCTCTACATGTTTCATGGAGGGACTAACTTTGGCTTCGTGAATGGAGCCATGGACTTTGGGACCTACAAACCTCAGGTCACAAGTTACGGTAGGACGTGAAGAACTAAAAGCAATGAGTGCATACAAAGCTGTAGAATATGTTCTCTGGTAAAACAGCAATGGCTTCAAACTGGTTTTTGTTCATTGGCAGATTATGATGCTCCGCTCTCTGAGGCTGGAGACTGCACCATCAAATATCACCTTCTGAGGAATCTGTTCAGCCAGTATCACTGTAAGACCTTCAGTTATCTACAAATTTAACTGGAAGAGACATTTCTTTCTATGAATTTGGACTTTCATCCAAAACTGCTGACTGTCTTATTGAATTAGTCGACATGTGTTCCAGCTGAGCCTCTTCCTGAAGTCCCCCTGCCTCAGGAGAGGGTGGCTTACCAGACTGTTTTAACACAGCAGCACATCTCCCTGTGGGACAGCCTCCAGTTCACAGACAAGGTGAGCACCTTATGGGACAGGTTGTACGTGACCCGTCACATCGAAGTTCAGATATAAGCCACTGTAGTGCATCAGTTGAAAAATTTGTGATAATTTCTCAAATATAATTAACACCGGGCAGCACAGTGGCGCAACTGGTAGAGCTGCTGCCTCTCAGTGAGCAGGTCCTTGGTTCAAACCCCGGTCCAGGGGCCTTTCTGGGTGGAGTTTGCATGTTCTCTCCGTGCATGCGTGGGTTTTCTCTGGGTACTCCGGTTTCCTCCCAGAGACCAAAAACATGCATGTTAGGCTGATTGGTAACTCTAAATTGTCCCTAGGTGTGAGTGAGAGAGTGAACGGTTGTTTGTTTCGTTTGTCTCTATGTGTCCCTGTGATGGAGTGGAGACCTGTCCAGGGTGTACCCCGCCCCTCGCACAGTGATTGTTGGACATGGGCACCGGCGACCCCCGTGACCCAAAATGGAAGAAGCGGGTAAAGATAATGGATGGATGGATGGACTTCCATCAGTCTGAGGAGCCACAACAAACTCGGTCTTATAAATAAATTTAACTTTGTTGGCTGTGGCTGCCTGCCTGGGAGGAGTCGACGAGGGACAGGACGGCCCCCAGAAACCATCTTAGCTCCAGCAAACTGGTTGGTCCACTTAAGGAGTTTACTGCTTGGTGGGGAAACAGTTTACTGGAACTCCTCAGACTGATGAAGCCCTCCGGATAGAGGGTGAAATGTCTCTATAAAAAACAAGCTGTCCAGATGACCTGACTGAGAATTATTGTGAGAATTATTGGATTTGATACCTGGATGATTGAGTATGAATTTAGATATTTTGAACCATTCTGGTTATGTCTAAAAAAGTTAAATCTGGTCCTCTGGACATTCAAAAAACAAAACAAAGCAAAACAACAACAAAAAAAGTAGAAACCTTTCGCCTTTCATCCAAAAGACTTCCTCAGTCTGAGGTGCTGTATTCAGCTCAGTCTTATAAATAGCACCTTCTCAGAGTGGATCAACCAGTTTGCTGCTGACAACCAAAAGAGCAAAACTGGTTGATCTACTCTGAGAAGGTGCTATTTATAAGACTGAGTTTGTTGTGGCTCCTGGTGAAGCCTTTTGGATGAAAGACTAAATGTTTCAGAAAAAAAAAAGAAACAGTCCAGAGGACCTGACTTAACTTAGTTGGATTTTTTTTACCTGGATTATTGAACATGAACTTTGAGACTTATTCCAGCTGTAAAATCTTGATATCCAAATACAGTATGAGGTTTTCTCTTTCAAATGCCGTCAAGGAATCCTTATAAAAATATGCTAAAAACAGGATTCAAACCAAATAGGTTATTCCAATTAGCCATCATGGTTGCAAGGTTCATAACACGAAACAAGAAGAATCATATTTGAAGTTTAAATGCAAAACGTGAGATTTACTTACAGGTGATTCGAGGAAATATGTAGAAGGGAGTCTGCTGAGGTAATGGTAACAAGGAAGTTCGGGTCTAATAATGCTGAAAGACAAGTTCTTACAGTTTCCAAAGGTTGGTCCGCAGAGAGAAAGGCTGGAGATTCTAGGGGAGTAGACAGGCAGGCAGGTAGCAATAGGTTCCAAAGGTCTGATCCAGTTTGAAGACTCAGGAAGCACTTATGTAAATATGATAAAGTGTTTAGTTTAATTTGAAAACATCAAATTTAATCTTAATCCCTGATTTGATGTGATGGGTTATATTTATTAAAATTCAAAATACAAGGTGCTAAAATTAAACTAGTTTCCAGACAGTCTTACGTTCCCAGATGAATCTGATCTGCTCCCCAAACCGAACTTTTTTACACACCACCATCTCTGCACTTTCTCAATATTGTCGGACCTCCTTTGACCAAGTTAAGTCCTGTCCTTTATCTGAGTTTGTGGGTGGCTAAATGACACAGGACTGCTATGAGACATGGAGCAAGGTGCGGAGCAGGGAGGAAGAATAGGTGTAGCTGACCACGATGTGGGATATACTAAGTAAACAACTATGAGAAATGATCCTGTGCTTAATACACTTATAAATCACACATAAAGTGTTTAAAAGTAAATTATAAATATAAACTGGCTTCAGTGGTGATTTTAGCCTCTTTTTGGGTCCCTACATGCTAACTCAGCACCCCTGACAAATAAAGAACCCATCATTAGGATCAGGAAACTCAGTTCTCAAACCTTAGATCCACCAAAATATTGAACAAATATTGAATAAATGATGACAGTTTTAAAATGGGCCAATATTTATTTATTTTTGTTGCAGTAATCAGATCCCTGACCTTCCTCAATCAATCCAGTAGGCACATGAGCAACTGACCAATCAGTGACCTCAATTTGTCCTGAAGTGAACGCCTCTTACCTGCAGAGATGCAGCGGTTTGACATTACGAACGCTTTGTAATCATAGAGATTAAATAACAGAGTTTATATATTTTGTTTCATGTTATTCTAATGTATAAACCTGTAAAAACTCACCAGAATGCAGGAATCCAGAATTTGGGGGAGTGGTGGCGCAGAGGTTAGAGAGGTGGGCTTGTGATCTGAAGATCGCCGGTTCACGCCCTGGCCCCGACAACATCAAAATTGTGGGTGGGGTAGGTGAAACACCCACACTTGCCCCTACCCTCATTCGCCCCACTCTGGGCCCATGAGCAAGGCCCTTAACCCCCACCATGTGCTCCCTAAAACAGGTCTCTCTTGAAAATGAGTTCTCGTGGCTCAATGAGACTAACCTGGATAAATAAAGGCTAAATGAAAAAAAAAAAAAAAAATGGCATCTTCGTCATTCAAAATTCTCTGGGGGAGGACCCCCAGACCCCCCACCCACCCCCCTTCTGGTCTGTGAAAATATTGTCTGACATTTCTGCCATTAAACTAGTCTGTGGTGCAAAAGAGTTTGGAGACCAATGTTCTAAACTCTTAAACCTACATCATTTTAACAACATATTTATATGTAGCTACTAAATTTTACTCACCATCGTGGCAGAACAGCAGCTCTCAGTTCTGCTCAGACTTACACCTACAGCAGCGTGTGTCCCCGCTCAGAAACACCAATGAGTCTGGGGGTCTGGTTCTGCTCCGGTTCTGCTCCAGTCCTGTGCAGCCGTTGAGCACCAAAGTGCATTTTGCACGACTGGTGGTCCGATTGAGTGGTCGAGATTTTTTTTTTTTTAAGTCCCAGGGGGCACATAGAAAGACCGGACTTACAGTGGTGCACATTGCCATTCAGATGTCTTCATGTCCTGACTAGCAGCTCTCAGGTTTGTTGAAGGGTCTGGAGGTCCGGTTCTGCTCTGGTTCTGGTCTGGTTTCCGGTAGGTTCCATGCAGCTCTCTGCATCTGCTGGGTGCCGAAGTCACTGTAAGTGTTGAACTTTTTCTGATCAGATCAAAACTTTCCTTCTAGTATTTCAGCTGAGGGCAACAGGACTTCTAGGTGAGGCACTGTTGGCTTCTGGGAAATGTAGTCCTCATGAGTGGCGATACAGTGTAGGCTTATTGAGAGAAAACTACAAAATGGCAGCACCTGTCCGAAGTTTTTTTTTACTCTTTACTGTACAATATCCCGTACTGTCCCAGTCACGTGATATTAAAGTTGACAATCATGTGTCGTGTACAATTATTTTTCGTGTACAATCTCACTTTTGAAAAAACGCAAAAGCGAGTCCGCGAATGTAAAACCACGAATTATCGAGGGACTACTGTATTCATGTTTTTAAACTGTCGTTTCCAACATGTGGTTATTGACCCACGCAGCCGTACCAGTCAGAGAGGCCTGTAAACATGGAGAATCTGCCAGTCAACGACAACAACGGTCAGTCCAGTGGTTACACTCTGTATGAAACCACCATCAGCAGAGGAGGAACGCTGAGCTCCCAGAACAACATCAGGGACAGAGCGCTGGTGAGCGCATGGAGAGTCAACCATTATTACACACTGTGGTGCAGAAAAGTGTTGCCAAAGTACCTGCTGATGTTCTCCAGGTGTTCGTGGATGGACAGTTTGTTGGATGTTTGGACTACAAGTGCCATGAGGTCACGCTCCCTGAAGCTGAGGTATTTATTTCAAAATGTCTCATCCAAACGTCTCATTTGCTGAAGACATGTTAAACACAAACTTTTCAAATAACACTTAGGTTTTGAGTAAATTCCAAAAAAGGCAAGACCAACCTTTTAATTGACAATAAACATACAATAAAAAAATAACAAAATGAACTACAAAATACTTTACATGAAAAATGCCAAGGAAAAAAGAAGGAATAAAACTTTGAACCTGTGCAAGTTTTACTTAAGACGTTCTCAACCAAACCGAGCATAAAACAGGACAAGTAAAAAAAGTCAGTAGAACAGAACAATATAAACAAGTGGTGCCCCCAATGTCCTCCGTCTCTGAGGGATTTGACTTGTGAATGTTTGTAGTTTTGGAAATTAGTGTTTTTCTGGAATTGAACAGGGAATGAAAGTAAACTTTAATGTTTTTGGTAGAAGGTATTCAGGTGGGTAGGAGTTACACTGTGGAGAAGAACAATTTTCCTCTTCCGATGCTTTGAATGGAGCCAGTTGAGGTGGTTCGGGCATGTCCAACTGGGAGGAGACCTAGGGAAAGACCGAGGACGAGTTGGCGAGAATGTCTCTCGGTTGACCTGGGAATGCTTTGGGGTCCTCCCAGAAGAGCTAGAAGAGGTGGCTGTGGAAAGAGATGTCTGGGCCACCCGCTCAAGCTTCTGCACCCGCGACCCGACTTCAGAACAAGTGGAAGATAACGGATGAATGGATCTTCCGAGGCAACACAGAGTGACAGCTCCTGGAGAGTGGAGGGAGCAATTTTATCCACCACCAGGTTCAATGCTGGAGTCAGAGGGTGGCCAATGGTGGCCTTGGTCCCCATAGATAATCTTCGGCCACCCAAAGGGCTACCCCAATCATTTGAGGAAAATATACTTTTAAGCAATATAAAACTAGAATACAATTTTCTCAAATGATAGGGATATCTGGTTTTTATATACTGTATGCACGGAGGTGGCCATCTTGGATTTTCAAGTGGCATCCCAATTTTTGATAAGGACCTTTCAGACACCTAGATGCACATTTGCTGAGGGTATCTTTTACAGCTTTTCAGGCATCATCTAAACTAAATAAGGATCAATTTGGATCAACATGTTTCTTTCATGTCTCTTTAATATTTAGTCTTGCTTATTTCAGCAAGACAATGCCAACAACACTCAGAAGATAAAAAAAAAATAAAGCATGTGATAAACTGGCATGCAACATAAAACACAGTGAAATCCATTAATCTGCTTTAGTTTTGGAAATTCAGCTTTATGGCAGTTACCCAAAAACATTTTCATGTGTATTTTTGTTTATTTCAAATATTTTCACAAATCTATAAAAATCGGAAACCAAATTTTCACAATCTGCACATTTTTCTAAATGTTTGTTTTTTTGTTTTTGTTGTTTGTGTTTCTATATAAGACGTTTTCTCAAGCGAACTCTCCCATTAACCTCCGTGTTTGTGTCCTAAAGGCCCACAGGACTCTGGCTTTGCTTGTGGAGAACTGTGGACGAGTGAATTATGGAAAAGCTCTGGATAACCAGCGCAAAGGTATTCAGACATTACTGTCATTTCATAAATATACATTGGTTTGTGGTGTTGTTTTATCTTTACTGTTGCATTGTTCCTCTGTTTGTCAAACCTGAACATTGTTTAAGAGAAGACGCTCTCAAAGCTTGGCTTAAACTAAAGAGACATTATTCAGTTGTTTGTAAAGTTAATCAAATTTTCAGTCAACTTAAATAAGTAAAATCACTTGTAGACAAAACCTAAACTTTCTTATCTTTATTTGTTTTGGGACACAGTAACCATGTAGGCTATTGTACCAAAAGTTTTCTTTCAGTCTTCAGACCCCTCCGCTCCTCTCAGTTTGCCGGGTAATCTGTTGCAGGAATTGTAGGGGACATTGTGCTGAATCACACCCCGCTGAGAGGATTCACCACATTCTGTTTAGACTTGAAGCCAAGCTTCATAAAAAGGTTTGTTGTCTGAATTAGTTTTCAACCTCTGAGAAAATCATCAAACTTTGTCTTGTTTGCCATTGAAACTTGGAGAAACGATCGTAATGGGTCTTCTGAAGAAATCAGATTTTTCTCCCCCAGATTATCAAACTCATGTCAGTGGAAAACTGACTCGCAGTCACCGTCTGTCCCAGGATTTCTCCAGGCCAGACTCTGTGTGGATGGTCCACCCAAAGACACTTTCATCAAACTCCCTGTGAGCACAATGACATTTGTCTACTAAGTTGCACTTAAAAGGTCAAGGAAGTTATTTGATTTAATTACACTTTGTGTTAATATAAAAAAAAAAACCATAAAAGTCTGAGCTTACTTTTATTTCCACATGTGCAGCTGCACTTCAAGCCAGAAGAGTCAAATCGTCAAATTTATTTATAAAGCACATTTCAGAATCAATTCAACTTTATTGTGTTTTGTAAAAATTAAGAACACAAAGTAGACTGAAAACAGTGTAGGTAGAAGCCCAAGATTATTATACCTTCACTTTTTGTTGTACATAAAACATCAAAATCAAAGCAGCAGAGTTTTTCCTATATAATATTCTAAAACATGTCAAGAAATTCCGACTAAATCGACAGACAAACTCATTAAAAACACACACAAACAAGTTGAAAAAAAAAAAAGCGAACTTTATTATATTTGTTTGACAAATTATTTTTATAGATTTTTTAAGTTAAAGAGTGAAAAACACAATTGTAACTCCTCACAACAACTATTCTACACCTGAATCCCTCTAACTGAAGTACAGTTGTTTTTGATTTTTGTCCTAACCTTTGTTGTTGTTGTTGTTTTTAATTATAAATCCTTCTCTCTTAAATCATAGCTTTTCTCTCTAATTTTGAACCACTTCTGTATACACCTTACACCACATTTAAAAACAAGCAGCTGTTAATGCTTAACAATAAAAGCAATGGCGGTAATTTAAAGGGGCAAAAATTAATTAAAAGCATAAAAAAAAAACATAAAACACAAAACAATAAAATACTAAATCAAAACACATTAAATGTCAGTGAAAACACATGTATTTATTAAATAGAGATTTAAAAACAGGAAGTGAAGTGGCCTGTTTAATGTTGTGTGTGGGGGGGGGAGGGGGGGGGCATAGATTGTTCCAAAGTTTAGGGGCCGCGAATGAAAAAGCCCGATCTTAGGCCCAAGACTGAAATGTATTTGTTCCTACGACTGAACTCTTATGGACAGAGACCTCTGAGGTCATTCCTGAGATCTGGTGGAACCATTTTTCCAGTTTAACTCTTGGGCCACGGAGAGTCACAGCCTCAAGTGCTTCGATGACCTCTAGCAATTCACTTCAGTTCAGTTTATTTATGTAGCGCCAAGACACAACAGAAGTCATCTCAGGGCACTGAACAGAAACATTCATAAATAGTATATATATATATGTATATATATGTGTATATATATATATATATATACTGTATAAGGTAAAGAGTATTGGTCCGAGCACTGAACTCTGAGGAACTCCATGACTAACTTTGGTGTATGAAGAAGATTCATTATTTACATTTACAAAATGGAATCTATCAGATAGATATGATTTAAACCAATTTAGAGCTGTTCCTGTAATCCCAATATCATAGTCAAGTCTTTGTAGTACAATATTGTGATCAACTGTATCAAATGCAGCACTGAGGTCTAACAGGACCAGATTGTCAGAGTTCATGAAAATATCATTAGTGACTTTCACCAGTTGTGTTTCTGTGCTGTGTTGAGCTCTACACCCTAACTGAAACTTATCAAACAAATTATTTCTTTGTAGATATTCACAAAACTGACTGTCACCACTGAGGCTTTGACTTTCCACCACTTATTTAGGTCCTTTGCTGGTCCTTGGTATTTATACAACTACTTCTGGATGTTACAGTTGTCTGTTTGTCAGTCTGGATCTGAAACTCCCACTGTGACATTCTTCAGTACCACTGGTGAAACCTCCCACTTTGACAGCAAGACCTCCAGCCCATATAAGTGGCACAGATGTTCCTGGACACTGTTATAGCGTGCCATGAATGCTTTGGCTACCTGGATTACACCTTGCAATTTTGTGCTGGATGATCTCAGTGGCATCTTTGCACAACATGCATTTTGGATCCTAATGCTCTTGTACTGCCATGATTTGTACCACTGTGCTGTCTTTCAGTCCAGCCTTCTCTGGGGGGGATTTGTCTTTTATGGTAGGCTGGAACAGTTGCTGTGTGACTTTTAAACAGAAGATTGGGGGTTAATACCACAGTTCAACCAACCTCTAGTGACCTTGTTCAGTAATGAGCAGGAGACAAAGAAATTATGCTTTGCCAGATAAGATGCCACTCAGATTATCACGGGGAGCCAGGACTATAAGGAAAGGGGGTCACTATCATCCCCACCTTGCAAGTTTGGGTACCAAGCCCCACAGAAACACCCTGATGAACTGAATACATCGGCAGCTGAACTGAGACTGGAGGTCAGGACCAGGTGAAACACCTACAGCAGTGGACCTCAATTTCACTGCAGCGAGGTCCGCCTGAGGAAGTCTTTCTCTAGAAAAGGTCTAGAATGTCCATCCATCCATCCATCTTCTTTACCCGCTTATTCCATTTTGGGTCACGGGGGTCGCTGGTGCCCATGTCCAGCAATCATTGTGCGAGGGGTGGGGTACACCCTGGAAGTCCATCACAGGGCCACATAGAGATAAACGAGACAAACAAATATTCACTCTCTCACTCACACCTAGGGACAATTTAGAGTTACCAGTCAGCCTAACATACATGTTTTTGGACTGTGGGAGGAAACCGGAGTACCCGGAGAAAACCCACGCATGCACAGAGAGAACATGCAAACTCCACCCAGAAAGGCCCCTGGACCGGGGTTTGAACCAGGGACCTGCTCGCTGAGAGGCAGCAGCTCTACCAGTTGCGCCACCGTTCTGCCCCGGTCTAGAATGTCTGTTTTTAAATTTTCTTTTAGTGACAATCATGCTGGTTTTCTTCACTCAACATGTTGTGTTTTCAGGCCTGGACATCTCTGTGTGCTGGCAGCAGACAGAAACCAAAGGCCAGACCTGAGAATTACTGTCAATACTAGAAAAGCTCTCTGCATAAAATAAATGACCATAAATTATAGCAAAGCTATGCTGTATAAAAGGGGTTACAGAGAAAATGTTGGCAGATAAATAAAAATATGCAAGTAATCTGTTTAATTTTACTGAGATTCAAGAACAGATCTGGGTACAGATAAGACTTTATTTGGGCTCAAATCTGGACCTCAGTCCACCTGTTGAGGACCTCTGACCTGCACCCCTTACCAAGCGACCAAGTACTTTCTGAAAACCTGTAAAAAAAATGGGGACTCAGTATTATTAACTATCTCTACTATGGGTGACCTAATACATTTTTTCCAGATTGAGTACAAGTACTTCAATTTGGGTACTTGCCGATAAGGTGTAGTGATACAGATTATGAGTTAGTACTTAAAATTTACACACTGACTTCAGAAACATTTATTTTATTAAAAACACATCAAACCATCTGCTGTCTTACATCACTTGTGTTTATCTTGAAATATCTTTGAAGTATGAACATTTTAAAATTTATTTTCTTTTGGTTATTTACAAAGTGAAAAAGGAAATGATGCCACCAAGCATAAAAGTGCTATCGGTCTGAAGTGTCTGGGTGTTTTTATGAGTACAAGGGTAGGCTACTTGATGCTGTTTAAAAACTGCACACTTGAGTCTGAAATTCAGAGAGCATTTCATGCAACACTAGAAAGCTGTTTTATGTGTTGAGATGCAGTAACTTATTGTAAAGCAGCGGTTTTCTCTGCATTGATTTACTGATCATAACAATGTATTGATCCACAGGGTTGGGGTAAAGGAGTTGTGTTTGTCAACGAGCAGAACCTTGGTCGGTACTGGATCATTGGCCCGCAGCATTTCCTTTATCTCCCTGGCCCTTGGCTCCGACGTGGAGAGAATCAGGTAATGTGTACTGCAGAGTTATCAAAACGATTTTATCAGCTTTACATCAGCTAGAGAGGAATTTGTCCTCTGCTTCATCAAACTGTTTTAATGTTGAGGCAAACTACGTGCAAAATGTTCATTTTTCTTCTTCTTTTTCAGATTACTGTCTTCGAGGAGCAAAAAACTGATGGAAAAATAGTGTTTTCAGAAAATCCTGATCATGGAAAGACTATTGATGTGTACAAAATGCCTTTTTGCACACTGCTGTAAAAAAGCAAACTATTTAAAATGTGCTAAAAAAATATGTTTTTGTAATAATATACAACTAATACATAGTGTGGTCATTAAAATATTTTTAAAAGTTGTATGTAGCAGTCTCTTTAATATGCATAACCAAATGTATTTGTTACAAACCTCTATAAAGCACAAACCGATGCATATCCAGTTATCATCAGTTATCATTCAGTTTGAACTTTGCTCTGATAAGATATGATTTGATTTGACAGCGAGAACCCTGACTGGCTTCCCATTGGACCAAGCATCTGTCTGTCAACACGTTATACCGCCCACATGCACACGGAAAGCAGCGGAACACAGCTGCGGCTTTTAATGAAGTAACCGGAAACCCAATAAGTTTATTTCACAATAAGAGAAAATGTTTTCTTTACTGATTATTATAAAATAATTATCATATTATGAACAATGAAAACTATAAGAATTAAAATAAGTCTACAATTAATAAAATATAAAGCACACGATAAGGCAATTAGAAGCGACAGAACTTTAGTATGCATTTATTTTGAAAATCCTAAACGGAAATGTAGCTCATTTATTTAGCTAGCTTCACCTGAGCACGAGCGCTGTCACCTGCCTGTGCTGGTGTCACTAGTTGAAGGAGAGTTGTCATTTGGACCTTTTAAGGACCTGTTACAATGGCCAGCACAGTTCATTTCAGTTGACTAAATATCGGCTGTGTAGTGAGTGTACTTGCTAACCTAACCGTTTGTAAAGCTTACAGTTGCAGGGGAGCACCTGAGTGTTTTTAGCCTAGCACGAATCAAGCTAAAAAAAAAAGGTTACACCATTAATTTTAGCCAAGTTTCATTTGCTTCATATGTAAGGCTTCGCCTCCCACCCCGACATGGAGTCGTTTACAATCCTCGGCAGTGTTCTTGGGTGCTCTGTTTGCGTTGCAGTAGGCGGGCTCGTGTTTGCTGCCTACAAACTTGGCGTTTTTTACCAATTGTTTCACAAGGTAAGTGTTCCCAACAGGTCTGCAACACCCTCGTTCACTGGCTAATCTGGTAGCTTTTGTGTTATCTTCAGTAAAGCATGGCACAGTTCAGTCGGTATATCTGTAAACTTCATCTGTGGACATAGAGTCACCTGAGCTCCAAGCTGTCACAGGTCTGAAAGGTGAGCTGAGCTCCTGTCATGTAAACTTTGGCCAGCCTTGTGGTTTGTAAAGGCCGTACCAGACACCTTTAGGTTGTTGGTAGGATTACACTCAGCCCTGCTGCTGTAGTCAAACGTGGAGGTGGTGTGACAGGTGACCTGACAGGGAGGGGCTCTCATCAGCTGTTTACTTAAGTCACTTTATAACCGGTTTAATTACTTCAGGGTTCCCGTTAGTAAAACATTAACTGAGTGTTATCGCTTCAGACGGAGACAAAGAGCCCCCGGCATGGAGGCGAGAGTGTGGCAGAGGTTCTCCGGGCTCATGGAGTCAAGTTCCTCTTCACCCTTGTTGGTGGGCACATCTCGCCTATCCTGGTGGCATGTGAGAAGGTTGGCATCCGCGTCGTGGACACAAGACACGAGGCCACGGCTGTGTTTGCTGCTGACGCTGTGGCGCGGCTCTCAGGTAAATGGACTGTACTTTCATAGCACCTTTCTATCTAATCAAGACACTCAAAGCTCTTTACAACACAATCTATGCCCTTGTTTACCATAGATCACTCTACTAGATCTATACAAAGACTAATCAGAGCTTTATCACATTCATACACTGATGGGACACATCAGAGGCAATGAGGGGTTCAGTGTCTTGCCCAGGGACACGTCGGCATGTGACTGCTGGTGGAATCGAACCCCCAACTCCCATTGGAGGACGACCGCCACCCATTCAGCCACAACCGCCCCTAGTATAGACAGATAGATTATTATTGACCCTGTGTGTGTGTGTGTGGGGGGGGGGGGGGTTCTTGTCTACCTGTTAGCAAAATATCACATGACCCACTAAGCAGATGTTCATGAAACACACAGAAATGAGGGGCAATCTAATTTAACATGGCCACACTATTTTTAAGGGTTAAAGAAAAGAAACTGCTCCAGCACATTTCTCAGTTTTAGATGATCCAACTCTGAATCTATGACATTAAAGGCAGTGGGTGATGGGCATTTCTTTAAGGAACATTTGGCCTTTTAATTATTTATAAAGGTTCTTAAATTGTGGTCTTCAATGACCAACAATGATCTTCAGGAATCAAGTCGGTCTCTGAGCGATATACAAAGTTTGTATAAACATACTCCTAAATATATTTGTAAACCTACTATCATCTGCTAGACATTGGTAGAAAAAAATTAAACATCTGTAATGTCATCTGAGTTTGTTTTCCAGTCCTGGGACCAGAAGAAGACCATTACCTATTTTTACATCTGCTCACGCTGAACGCAGTTTAATATTATTTTCTCTCTAAAAGTAATAGTTTCCTTCAAAGCAGTGAAATGTATATGATGATGATGGATAATAATTATTTTGTAACGCATGTATTTTGTTGTAAAGGCGTGCCGATGTTCAGAAATGAGCCCCTCCTGTTTGAAGGGGAGCCTCCTGCCACTGGAGACGCACTGACCGAAGGGCTTAGTGTTTAGTTTAATAACCGTGTTGCTCACAGGCATCTTTGCCTTTTAACTGGTTCGGTAATAAGCTCATATTTGACCGATTATTCTAAAAATAGGCTAAACTAGTTTGGTTTATTTTAAGTTCATGACTTCCCTGTATTTTGGCACGTGTTGACGGTGGTTCTGACACTGGAGGATCTGACTGTTGCGGTGTCGCTGGGCGTGTCTCGGTAGGTTTTACTCCAGCTAACGTTAAGGCTTGACTTCATTCCTGTGTCTTTGTTTGAACCCTGGGAACACGAACAATCTAGCTCCAGTCATTTAGATTGATATTGTAGTATTTTCCACAGATTATGATGTTTTTGCTGCTCCACACCAGGTACTGTTGGCGTCGCTGCAGTGACTGCCGGCCCCGGCCTGACCAACACGGTGACGGCTGTGAAGAATGCTCAGATGGCTGAATCTCCTCTGCTGCTCCTAGGAGGAGCTGCTGCTACACTCCTACAGGTGGGTTATGTACAGATTATTTAGAACACGTCAGTTAGGAGCCGATGCGTGTGGCTGTGTGTTTCAACTCTTGAACCGTTTGTGGCGCAGGGTAGAGGAGCGCTGCAAGACATCGACCAGATGTCCCTCTTCAAACCTCTCTGTAAGTTCTGCGCCTCCATCCGGACGGTTCGAGAGATCGTGCCCACACTCAGGAAGGCCCTGGCCATCGCTCAGTCCGGAACACCTGGTCCTGTTTTCATCGAGTTCCCCATTGACACACTGTACCCTTACCACCTGGTGTCCCAGGAGTTCGCTGTGAAGAACCCCCCCAAAGGCCTGATGGGAAAGTTTGTCTCCTGGTAAGTTATCAGAGTGCCCCACACTGATTTATCAATGTGTATTAATTGAACTGCTTCTGTTGATAATAAATGATGTGAATTAATATTTAGGCCTGTCACGATAACAAATTTTGCTGGGCGATTAATTGTCTCAGGAACTATTGCGATAAACAATAATATTGTTTGAAATTTGACAATAATTAGTAATTATTGTCAAATTTAAGATGAAAAGTTGCTCAATTTATTTTGTGTGTAGTACTTTTTTGACCACCAGATGGCAGTAAAAGACTGTTTGAACCGAAGGATGGATAGTGAGGGAGTGAGCAGCGTGTCTCTTTAAGAAAAAGGGGAGGGAGGCCCCTTGATGTGACATGGGCTGTTTCTTTTCCCTTTTTTTTTTGGTTCTCAAGATGGTGGACCCTCAGTGTAGTTTGAGCTCTTTAGCATAGCATTTGTCACACAAAGGTTTGAATAAAAATCAGTAAACAAGTTTTCAGCTTCTTTATGCAGAGAAAAATAACTTTTTAGACGAAGGCACAGGTTTCAACCATGAATTTTGGAGCTTCAACAAGACGGAGGTTTTTTCCCCCTCGAGGTCAGCCTGTTAGCTTAGCTCGTAGCTTAGCTGCTTTTAACCATAGACGTTATTTATGTCTGTGCTTTTAACGATCCAAAAATGTGATTTTGAACAATTGAAATAGATTTTAAAGAGAAAAGAGAAGGGGAGGGGTCAGTGAAGAGTACTCGAGTTGATCTTTTTGTCATCCAGTGTCTTCAGTAGAAAGAGAGAGACATGAAGAAACGCTAAAGCCGATAAATGAAAATGAGGTTGATACTTTTCATTCATCATGTGATTATGATTTATTGTTTATTGCGACAGGCCTATTATTATTTAATATTTGTAAGGTACCTCAACAACCACCTCATGAACCTTTTCGCTGGAGCCTGGGAGACCAGAGAGGTTTCTCCGCTTCCTGTCCACGTCCCTCAGGCCACAGACGATCAGGTAGTCCTGCTCTTCAAAAGAAACTTCAGATATTATTACTTCAGTGTTCCTGATGATGTAGGGTTTTTAGATTAATATTTTAATTAGGTACTTCTCTCACTGCATGCAGTAATAAAAATGATAACCTGTTTGTATCTTTATTTTTTCCCACAAATCAAATCAGTTACAGAAGTGTATCGAGCTGCTGAGCCGGGCCAAGAAACCCGTCATTCTTCTGGGAAGCCAAGCAACGTTACCGCCAACACCAGTGGAGGATATCCGGTAAAGAACTGTGATGTGTGGTGTTTGAACACACAATATCTAACGTGTAACAATTCTCTAAAGTCATTGTTCAAACTTGGATAATAAAAATCCTGACAGTTTGAGAGAAATGTTGAGGACAATTGTGTGTGTGTGTGTGTGTGTGTGTGGGGGGGGGGGGACAGGCAGGGACACTGGAACGTAAATCTAACACAGAACAAACATTTGTGTCGGTTTATTCTTTGTATTTGCTGGATTGATGCAACTTAAAACTTTAAGTAAAAATGAGATGGTGGTTATTATCTTTTCACAGTTCAGCTTTTTATCTCATGTCCTTAAAAATGTCCCTGCTTTACAGAAAGGCTTTGGAGGACCTGGGTGTCCCCTGCTTCCTGGGGGGAATGTCTCGTGGCATGTTGGGTAAAGACAGCCCCATACACATTCGACAGAACCGACGAGATGCTCTGAAAGAGGCCGACCTGGTCCTCCTGGCAGGTAAGACTTCAGCCTCACTGTACAGTAGAGCAGTGGTCTTAAAGGGCCGAGACCCCAAGATGGGTCACAAAACACCGTCAGGGGGTGGGGTGGGGGGTCCTGAGATAATCTCCAGAAATGAAGCAAATTTTTAAAAATAAATCCTACAGGCATATTTAACTAAAATTGTTACAGAAGATAATACAGTGGTCATAATAGAAAAAAGCAGTCCATGTTTAAGCTGTTTGTGTCGTCATTGTGTGAATGTTCATGAAGCATTCACACCGTCGTCGTCCTTTTTTCTTCCGTACATTTTTCGGTGCGATTCTCATCCCGCAGTTTTCAAACTATTTCAACAAATCGTAATTCAAAACGTTCAGCTCTTTCGGAACAATCCTGCTGTTGGTATTGGTGAAATTTTTAGCTTTTTGAAATATTTAGCCTTTTCTGCCATTATTTTTTTCTCATGGAAAATGAATTGAGCTCATTTTACATCCTTCAGATCTTTAGATCTGTTTACAACCTTTTACTGCTCCTTTCACATTTTGTTCTGCTTTAGCTTCTTTCAGCTTCCTTGTGCAAAGTTAAACTTTTTCAGCTTCTTTCAGCTAATTTCAGCTGTTTCTTCAGCTGTTTCTTCAGCTGTTTTGTGCTTCTTTCAGATTCTTTCTGCTAACTACAACATTTTTGTGCTTCTTCTAACTTCTTTCTGCACATTTCAGCTTGTTATGCTAAATTCATCATATTTTTTGTAAGTTTCAGCTTTTTCTGCTATTTCAACTACTAATGTATATAGCTGTTTTTATGGTAATTTTAGCTTTTTCAGCCAATTCCACTTTTTTTCCACTCATTTCAATTTTTTTTAGTCTACTTCAGCAAAAATGTGCTCTCCACCTCTAGTAATTTAAGTTTTTCTGCTTTTCAGTTACTTTTCAGCTGTTTTATGCTAATTTAATCTTTTTTCAGATAATTTCCAGTCTTTTGTGCTAATTTCTGCTTCTTTCAGTAAACACATTTTTTTTGTTTGTTTTCTTCCGCTCATTAAGCTTGTTCTACCTTTTCAGTTACCTTTTCTTAGCATTTTTTTAGCTAATTTCAGCTGTTTTCAGATAAATTCTAGTTTTTCATGGTAATTTCTGCTACTTTCAGCCTAATTAACTTCTTTATGCTAATTTCAGCTTATGCTCCTTTCAGCTTTTTTCTGCTAGTTTCAACTTTGTCTTCCATTTCAGCTACCTTTTTAGCTGTTTTTGTGCAAATTTTAGCTTTTTCAGCTAATTGCAAAAATGTTTAGCTCATTTCAGCTCCTTTCACTTCTTTCTGGTAGTTTTTATTCAGCAAATATGTGTTCTTTCTGCTTTCTTCTGCTAACTTAGGCTTGTTTTTTCCATTTCAGCTCCATTTCAGCATGTTTTTAACTCATTTCAGTTTTTTCAGCAAGTTCTTAAGCAAAAAGCATTCACACTGCATTTTCACAGGAAATGCATTTTCCCTAGTTGTACATTAATCTTCCTTTTTTAGGCTACATTTGTGTCGTTCATCCAAGAGTACTTGGGGTCACAGGTCTTTGTTATTTTGGGGGTCAGAAGCTAAAAGGTTTTGGATCCACTGGAGTGGACTGGGTAACTCTTTCTGAAAACAAAAGCTGCTGTGAAAACTTCTGTTCCTTATCTAAAAAAGTTAAATCTGGTCCTCTGGACATTCAAAAAAACCCAAAACAAAGCAAAACAACAAAAAATGTAGAAACGTTTCGTCTCTCGTCCGAGAGACTTCTTCAGTCTGAGGTGCTGTTTTCAGCTCAGTCTCTTAAATAGCACCTTC